AACATTTTATTCAACTATTTATTGCTTCTGTTTCATCTTCATTCAATTCATAATTTGCTAATAAACACTTTAAGCATGAACTAAAATTTTCAGTGTATCATTTGAAATAGGCATTAATTATCAAACTAATTAATTAATTATATAATTAATAACTTAATTATTTGACTCAGCACTAACTAATTCATTTAATCAGATTATTTTATTAAATACGTGAGCTGATTAATAGTAATCTGACCTGCTCCGAGTACCAGCACTTTGTCACCTATTTCGATATTCGCATTCCGACAAGCGTGCAGACCCACGCTAAATGGTTCCAAGAATGATGCTTCTTCCATACTCATGCTGTCTGGGATTCTAAAATATGCGTCAGTACTTATGCATCCAAGTCAAAGTTTAATACTAGATAAGAGTTTACAAGCAATGAAAAGTGACACAAAATTAATGCTAGCTGCACTATTTTTCTTGCACAACTGTTGATCACTTTGAATACTTCTTTAGGCAAAAAGTCCAAAACAACCAAAGTAAACTTATTTGAAGCAAAAATCAGCATCAATGGTGACGAATTGTCGCATGAGACCATCGGTTGGTGGAAGGGCAAAAAATTCCATTTCGTGACATAAATTATATCTTCCATGCTTGCAAAAACTACACTTCCGGCAAGCAATACCCGGTTCAAGCGCTACACGATCGCCTTAAATTTTGACGTGTTATTACTATTTCACTACTTTAATCTTATTACTAGAAGCATACCCAGTGCAAAGTCCTTTACGTCAGATCCTATACCAGCGATGACCCCACTACACTCATGGCCCATAATCATAGGTTTTTTTGGTTCCAACGATCCAATTTTACCGTGAGTCCAAAAGTGGACATCGGTACCGCAGATGCCAACGGTATGAACTTTAATGAGCAGTTGACCTGCCTTGGGAACCGGCATTTCACATTCTTCAATGCGCAAATCATTCTTGCCGTGCAATACACATGCCAAATTCTTGCTCATATTAGCA